TGAGGGGAGATCTTACAGAAGCGTATAAGATCATGAGAGGCATGGATAGGGTGAATGCACTCAGTCTTTTTCCCAGGGTTGGGAAATCGAGGACTAGAGGTAAGAGGGGAAAGAATATATGGAACCTGAGGAGCAATTTTTTTTACACACAGGGTTGTACGCATATGGAATGAGCTGCCAGTGGAAGTGGTTGAGGCAGGTACATTAACAACATTTCAAAGGCATTTAGACAAATACATGGATAGGAAAGGTTCAGAAGGATATGGGCCAAATGAAGGGAAATGAGGTTAGCGTGGATGGACATTTTGGTCAGCACGGACCAGTTTGGACCAAAGGGCCTGTTTCCCTGCTGCAAGACTCTATGACTCTATGATGAAAGCGGAGAGTGTTCAGTGAAATATTCTGGATTTATTTTCCGAGTCCTTGAACAGTTTCTGTTAATTAGTTTGAGGGATAGTGAAAGTGGAGAGAAGGGGCAGTTCGATTGGCTGATTCTTGACTATGAATAGGGGAATGAAGTAACTGTTGACTTTCCAATTGGTTGCGGGTGGAGGGTTACCAAGACAAGTGACATGCAATCAACCAATACGAGGAGTGGGGGGAGGGGTGGGGTGTGGGGGTGCAAAATTGTTTGAGCAAGAAGTCATGTGATGCACATAAGAAACCAATCCAAACAGTGCTGGCAAGGTAGGACCTGTCAGATTTATGGTTTATTGTGTTCACTTGGAGCACGGTGCACAGTTCTGGTCTCTGTATTACCAAAAAGGCTAGAGAGGTACTGGAGACAATGTCAGCAGACAGATTTACAAGGATGATTCATGAACTGAAAGGCTACGAAACAGACTGATGTTGATTTCTGTGGAAAGAGAGCTAACCTAATGCAAAAATCAGAAAGATCAGGGCGCACTCAGGCTAATGGGATCTGTAGCTCGGGTTGTGGGTGAGGTTGTTGATTTGCTCACCGAGTTGGCTTGTTTTTGTTCAGACGTTTCGTCACCATGCTGGGTAACATTATCAGTGCGGCCTCCAATGAAGTGATGTTGTTCTAATCCACTTGGAATTTATACTGTCAGGTCCATTATGGTGAGTAGTGTCATGGTTCCTAGATGCAACCCATAAGGTAATTAACAAACATATAGAATTGGAACCCATATACAAACCCATACAGAACAGAACCGGAAATGACACTACTCACCGTAACGGACTAGACAGTATAAATTCCAAGCAGAGTGGGATAAAATCACTTCATTGGAGGCTCCGCTGATGATGTTACCGAGCAAGGTGATGAAATGTCTGAACGAGAACAAGCCAGCTCAGCGAGCACGTCAACAACCTAGTGGGATCTCTCTTTCAAAGAGGCAGCACGGGCACAATGGGCCAAAGGGCAACGTGCTTCCAAGATCTTAAAGGAGTTCAGGTTATGTCAGAGTTTCTGTGCTGAGCAAACAGGGGAAATGATTTGTCTTGGATAATGTGTTGTTACACCAATTGGACATGGTACTGTGGCCTTTGGCAATTCTGCTGCTCTCGTTGAAACAGGGTCCTCATAGAATCCTGAGAAGCAAATGGTGCCAGGGGTAATACTGGAAGCTGTGGTTTAATGGGTGCCATCTGATCTTTGAGTCAGAAGGTCAGGGGTTAGGGAGTTGCCCATTCTTGTCAGTCCCACCACAATCACCCTGCTCTCATTATCCTGCCACTGGCCACTTATCACAGCCGTCGTTATGACAAATCGTCAAGTGAACTGACTCTTCCATAACTTTTCATTGTCTCTCAGCAGCAAAATCCAACACTCCTAAAAACAACAAACAAATTCCCGCAGAGAAACTACAATTTCTGTTCACCCCAGTTTTCTCTTTGATGGTTCATAGCAGCTGGTCCAGCAGATAGATCTCCATTTGACAGCCCGACCCTGGTTCCAGAGAGCTGAGCACCCTGCCTGGCAGCAATGATGGAGTTTACCCTTCCTGCTTAATTCTTAGGAATTCCCAGGATGAGGAAACACTCCCAAACAAACACTTTGTTACATCCAAACAACACATACGCTGGGATAGCTATACAACAGGCCTGGTAGCTTCAGATGAGAGTCAAGACAGAGTAAAGTTTGGTGACAGAAACAGAAATCGCTGGAAAAGCTCAGAGAGTCTGGCAGCATCTGTGAAGAGAAATTAGAGTTAACTGTTCTCAGGAAGGGTCACTTGACCCAAAGCGTTAACTCTGATTTCTCTCCACAGATGCTGCCAGGTCTGCTGAGCTTTTCCAGCAATTTCTGTTTTGGTTTCTGATTTACAGCATCCGCAGTTCTTACAGTTTTTTTTAATAAAGTTTCGGTGAGAATGAGATAATCAAGAATCGTCTATGATCAAAGCATTGGCTAGTGTGAAGGGGGAGAAGGTTATCTGGAATATACAGCCTGGGACTGGTTTGATATCCCTAACATCCTTCAGCCTGGTTAGTGAGGAGCAGCAGTGTAGTCAGTGATGGTTCATTTGTGAGATTTCAGTTCTGTGACTAAACTGATAAAGGAGTTTGCCCTCCGTCTCCATAGAAACTTGGCTGTGTTGCACTCAAAATGATGTTCTGGGTTTTTTTTTTTAACAGCTCAGTCTAATATTTGTCCTGGCTCCACTCAAATTGACAGCACGATTAAGGTAGCGATCAGCTCATCCTGCGACCACTCTGGTTCCAGTCAGGATCCCAGGCTGACTCCCCAGACACTGCCAAAGTAACCGAGCAGCCTCCCTCAACATAAACATGTGGATGAGTTTCTTCAGCCACATTTGTCAGACTGAAATTGCTGCTCTCTTGGTGGTGATTCTGGATTTCCACTCAAACAAAATCTCAAAAATACAAAAGTGAGGCTCTGCGGATGTTGGAAAATTGAGATTCAACACATCAGACAGAACATCTTGAGAGACAAATGGGTTTAGAGTCAAATAGAACACGAGAAGGCCATATGACCCATGTGTGCCTGAGCTACCCATGAACAAAAGAACATAAGAATTAGGAGCAATGAGGAGGCCATTTGGCCCCTCAAGTCTGCTCTGTCATTTAATGGCTGATCTGAATGTGGACTTCATTTTGTGCTTGTCTTCCTTTACTCTTCACTCCCCTTGTCAACCAGAGTGCGTCAAACCCACCCTTCAATATATTCAGCGAACACTGCTCACTGTGGAAAAGGATTCTAGACACAAAATACCCCGAACCCCATTCCCTCTCCCTAAAGCCCAACAAATCTTCCCACATCAAGTCTTTACCCTTTTGAAAATTGCAATTGAATCTATCTCCTCCACACTTTCAGGCCATGTGTTCCTGAACTCACAGCAACTCTCTGTTAAATACGTTTCTTCCACCACCTCTCAGTTTCTCAACAATTGCCTTTATTCTGCGGTCTCTGGTGAAGCAGTTTCTCTCTCCTGCTTCTCAGTTCTACTCCCTGCATCCATTTCTTCTGTTCATTTACCAATACCAAAACCCCTCCAAATTCTGAACACCTTGGCACGCTTTCTCTGCCTTGAGGAGAGCAATCCCAACTTTTCCTGCCACTGCCTTATCCCTGGAATATTCTGGTAAATTGCATATGTAATTTCTTTAAGGCCTCAATGTCCTTTCTAAAGCGTAGTCACTCAGACCTCTCCAGCTGACCCTGAGCCAGTGTTTTATAAATTCACTATGTCAACACACACAGTAACAGCAGTGTGTACTATCTACAAGATGCACTGCAGAAATTCACCAAAGATCCTCAGACAGCATCTTCCAAACCCACAACCACTTCCATCTAGAAGGACAAGGGCAGCAGATATATGGGAACACCACCCCCTGCAAGTTCCCCTCCAAGTCACTCACCATCCTGGCTTGGAAATATATTGCCATTCTTTCAGTGTTACATAGAATCATAGAATACCTACAGTGTGGAAACAGGCCATTCGGCCCAACAAATCCACACCGACCCTCCTAAGAGCATCCCACCCAGACACACCGCACCCTCCCACCCTGTTCCTGTAACCTTGCATTTCACATGGCTAACCCACATAACATACATGTGTTGCTGGGTCAAAATCCTGGAACTCCCTCCTTAAGGGCAACACATGCACTGCAGTGGTTCAAAAAGGCAGCTTACCACTACCTTCTCAAGGGCAACTAGGGATAGGCAATAAATGCTGGCCCAGCCAGGAATACCTGCATCCTGTGTATATAAAGCATTTCATGTCAATGGCCTTTTATCAGAACTGGCAAAAAAAGGTTTTATCAGGATGTTGCCGGGAATGGAAGGTTTGAGTTTTATGAAGACTTTTTTCCTTGGAGCGTAGGAGGTTGAGGGGTGACCTTATAGAGGTTTATAAAATCATGAGGGGCATGGATAGGGTAAATAGCAAAGGTCTTTTCCCTGGTGTGGGGGAGTCCAAAACTAGAGGGGCATAGGTTTAAGGTGAGAGGGGAAAAATTTAAAAGTGACTTGAGAGGCAGATTTTTCACTCAGAGGATGGTGTGTGAATAGAATGTACTGAACGAGGAAATGGTAGACGGAGGTATAATTACAACATTTGGATAGGTACCTGGATAGGAAAGGTTTAGAGACTTGTGAGCCAAATGCAGGAAAGTGGGACTAGTTTAGTGTGGGAAACTTGGTTGGTCTGGACTAGATGGACCAAAGGGTCTGTTGCCGTGCTGTATGACTCTATGACGTTATGGAAGTAGTTTGAAATCTACAAATATTAAAGGAACAACAACAGAAAAGTGGGGAAAAGGGATAGTGGGGACAGAAAAAGAGCAACAGACTGGGATAGGAGAAACATGGGAGAGGAAAAGGTGAATGGGATGAAAGTGCAAAGCTAAAGAAGTTGGGGATTGGTGCAAATTTAGATTTCCTAACCTATTAATTTCAGAAGTTTTCAAACAAATCTCATTCATGCTCGGGAAAGTTTCTTTCACATGTGGCTAGTGATGGTAACTGCAGCTTCTGATAAACTCTGTAGATGATCCTTCCTTATATACCAAAGTATGGCTGGTGATTCATATTGAAGACATCCATGAAGATCTACTGCCCCCTGTTCTGGAACATTCTGGAGATTTCTTGTGTATGCCACGGAGAGATGGGCAGTCGATCATCATCAATGCTGTGTATCGCCAAGAAAGAGGAAGCAGAAATCCCATCAGCCTCTCCATTGATGGCAAAGCAAAGGAGCAAAGGAACTGGAAGCTCCATCAGGCTAATGGTATGGTGATGGGATGTGGGTACAAGGACAGCTCCACTGAAACATTCTTGTCAACACCCAGCTCAATGGAAGCTGCACCTCAATGCACTCTAGCCCGAGAGTTAGAAAGTTATGGGTTTAAGTCCACTACCAAAGGATTGAGCAAAAGTCAAAACTGAAATTACACTGACAGAGTGCCGCACTGTCGGAGGGTCAGTGCTGAGGGAGTGCCGCACTGTCGGAGGG